CTCTCCAGTTTCAGGTACTTTAAAACAGCTGCTTTAAAATACTCTGACTTCAAAGCACAGTAAATTAAGCTCCACGTAAAGTCCATTCAGCTTTTTGTTTAATTTGATAAAAGCTCATCAGACCATTCAAGTTACCTTCTGGTCAATACTGCCTCAAGAAATCTGCAATTCAGCTACCTGTGGTTTTGCCAATATTTCTGTAAAACATTACTGACAGAAAATGTTGGCTTGCATGCATCAGGTCTTTGGTAAACACTGTTTCAGGCCCACTCCAAGTACCTTTTACACTATTGTGATCTTTTTCTCCAGAAGTCTTCATCTTGTGTGATTTTTTCTTGCTCTAATGCCCTGGGATCACCATCATTTTTATACAGCATTTCTCCTCTGTGTGAACCTGATGACATACCATGCCCTCTTCCATTTTAATTTCTTTCTAAGAAAAAGGATTGGTCTCAATAACAATAGCTTAGCTCTTGACTTGCTGGCTAGGAGGTTTAGCTTCGGGCGAGACAAAGTGACTGTTAAGCTGGATACTTTCTATTGACAAAGAACAATAAATACGTTTACCATAGCCCCTTGCATCACAGATGATCCCAAAGCACTCTACAAACAGTGTACTGGGTCCCTCATTCACCATCAAAACATACTTGCCGCTAACTGTGCCAGCAACACTACATAAAAGTTAGTTAAGAGGTGAAAAAGAAAGCAACTTCTCCAAGTGAAATTACAAGGAAATTAAGGGAGGTATAGAGTATATTGCTTCATGGAGAAGTTGGCCAGCAGACGGAACAGCACACCTTTTTAATGGCCAAAAGGGGGGCAGGGTCCCCATTCAAGATAGAATCACCAGCAATGCAACGCTGCTCCTCAGGTCTCTGCTGAGCACGATGCGTTATCAGCTAAAGAACGGACACTGCACATGCTGCTGCCTCTCCTTCCACAGGCTTTTCATCTCAGCATTATCAAGAAAAAGCAACACCTAGCCTTAGAGCTTTGACAAGATCCCAACACAGTGGTGACAAGAGAAAAAAAAAACACAGAAAATTTCAAGACCTCTTCAGTATTTCTTATTTAAATAAGCCATCACACGAGGAGAAAAAAAATCCCAGTGAAACCCATCATTTCAAGAATATACAGGATCAGCCTCCCCATCCACCTCCCCTCTCGCCAAGTATTGACCTTGTAAAACAGCAGTCTCAAAGATTTTAGATTTCCTACCACACAATTACAAATTAGGACATTCAGCAAAGGGAAAAAACATTTTTTTTAATACATACTGCTCTTGTGAAGCTGAACAGAACCCTATATAAACACAGTCCTGCAACAACAAAAAGGATGAGTCCACTCTATTGCTCTAATCCTCAAGTTTTAGGAGCATGTAGACAGACCTCACAACATAACCTTATTAAAAAAAAGAAAGCTCAATTTTAAGCATTTAAATCCCTAAAGACAGACAAAAGAAAACACAGGACAAAGTAGAAATACTATTGATTATGCATAATTGGTATAATTAATTTGTAATTAGTTCATTAAAATATATAGGCATTGGAATTATGCTTGTACATTTCTGGGAATATCCTGCAAGTCACTTGGGATATGCTTATCATTTATTTGATAGATGAAACATTATTAGAAAGACAGCCCATTAAAAATTAATATACCAGAGTAATAATTTCTTGATCTCAGCATTCAGTTTTCTATGTACTCAGATTCCTATTCTACCTCCTGAAGAGTTTTTATTAACATTGTTTTTTGGAGTGTGACTTGGGAAGCACAGCATTTTAGACAACTGAGGCACAGCATCTTTTACACCACGTATCTAGTTCAGTTTTGAGAAAACAAAGAGACAAATACCGTAAATTATATACCGTGAGGGTATTCAGCACCACATCTAATTCTATAATCAAAATTAAGATGGAAAAGTAAAAAGCCTTGTGCTTCAAAATAAATACCAAAGATGAATGGAAAGCAGTAGGAAGAAACTTCCACAGCACCGTAAGCAGCCTGGTCACTAATTGCTTCGCATTCTTCCACTTCTGCAGCGCATCTGGCATCGCTCACTGTCATAAATGACCATGTCTGTGTGAGCAGGATTTCAGGGCTTCTTAAACACTGGAGATAACATTCACCAGTCTCTCACAAGGAGCAACTGGAATGGGCTGGTATACACTGGTACTGCAGTAGCATTTCAAAGATGTTATCAAAACTCGATGTGTGGAGGAGAGTAAGATGGAATAATAGCGATTCTCCATTGTTTCTGTTGTAATGTTACTTTACTATTCCTCCTGATCTTTCTGAAGTCCTACTGATATTTCTATTGTGCCATTTCAACCAAAAGCTGCAGAAATAGTGACAGGACAAGGGGAGATGGCTTCAAACCGGAAGAGGGGAGGTTTAGATTAGACATTAGGAAGAAATTCTTTGGTGTGAAGGTGGTGAGCCAGTGTCCCAGGTTGCCCAGAGAAGCTGTGGCTGCTCCTCCCTGGAAGTGTTCAAGGCCAGGCTGGATGAGGCTTTGAGCAACCTGGTCTAGTGGAAGGTGTCCCTGCTGCTGGCAGGGGGGTTGGAACTGGATGAGCTTTAATGTCCCTTCCAACCCAAACTATTCTATGATTCCATGAAATAATTTGACCTTAAAAACCCAGAATACAGTCACATCACCTCCAAGTTGGGTACATAACACCAGAGTTTCCTTAAACTTCTGTTAACAGCCAGAGAGAGTCAGTCCTTATAAGTGTAATTCTGAGCACCGTGAACAGGCCTTCTGCTCAGAATCATCTTTCCTCACCACCCTGCCTCCATCAACACTAATGGGAGCCTAGAAAGGTTGGTCCCTCACGGATGCACCTCGTTTAGATACATGAAGCTGCGCCATGTGAATACCCATCTTCATCTAAAAAAACAACAAAAAAAAGCATCCAAAAAACCCCCGTATGATTACTCAAAATAAGCAAAATCAACAGTAGATATATAGTGCAAGTAGTGTCAGCTGCTATTATAAGGCTTGAGTCTTTTCTTGCAAAACAAGAGTATGTGTCAAAAAATCCCCCAAAAACCCAACAAAAACACCTTTCACTTTTGGAAGAAGGGTAAAATTGCAAAAAAACCCATAGAAAACAGAGTTAGGTCTCCAGGTCCTTTAAGCCACAATTAAACACTTCAGTGTAATTTTGTGCTTCTCAGCAAATCTGCTGTAAGAATTCTGAACAGTCTCCCAGGAATTACATACATTTTTTTTTTTTCCCCCTGCCTCCAATCTAGCATGGACAATTATTTATTTTCTTTGCCCTGCACTCAAGAACGTGATGGATGTATTTACATAAACACACACAGAGTCGCAGATATCTCTCTATAAAAATTAATCTGCAGATGATGAAAAGTGCAAAAGATCTAAGAGGCAAATCCCAAACAAAAGAGCATACTTTATACATAAATATCTTGAAATTATAAAGATCTGAGATTAAGTGGTTTACCACTCATTTAGAATTGATTAGAATGTATTTAAATTTAGCTGAAAGTACCACAACATTGCTCATGTATTTGCATCTGCGAATAAGTAAATAAAAAGCCTGTTATTAAAGCCTTCATTAATTCTGATTATATGAGAACTTAAAAGCAAATCTGTGTATTACTGCTCTGTAAAAGACTCCTAGCAACTCTACAGTAAAGCTGGCACTGCAACACAACATGTGTCAGCGAAAATGACTAACAGGATCTATTTTCAGTAATCTTAAATCACACTGGTAAAATATAGAATTAATGGTTTTGCATAATACTTCAAATATTTTTTATTCTAATTCATTCCCGATTCATGCCTTATTGTATCAAAAAGTTAATTTTATATCACTTGACATTTAAGCACAACAGTTGAGCACATTTTATGAAACTACAGTATTCAGGCAGCATTCAGATGTGATGTGTATATTATTATGAAGAGTGATCCAGTTATTTTATTTCCTTATAAATATGATGGATAGAGGTTTAAAAATATATCACATTGACTAGAAACGTGAAGAACACTTCATTCTAACTACAGATTTGGAGAGTTTCTATATACTTAATTGAAGCCAGTATTTTTGAAAGAAGGATTCATTAATTTTAATAGAATTCTCCTCCAATTAAAGGCTTCTCTGTTGATTTCTAAGGAGTTTAACAATTAAGTATATAATCTACCCCAAAATGGTTCTTCTTGGAGAAATCAAGTTTTAACCTATGAATGATTTTTGAAAGTCAACTTCTCCCTTGCCTCCCCCTCCCCAAAAATTCTACCCATATCTCTGGCATAGCGGTTTAATAGTTTAAGCAGAGAAGCGTAACTGAAAGATTATTAATTAGGTTCTTCAATCTCTATTCTTATACTAATAAATTAAATAAATTATTAAAGCAAATTTGCGTTTACAGAAACTTGAGCATGTAACACCGATTCACCTGTCAGCCCTGACGTTTTCTTTGGACTGTGAAGGACAGTCCTGGTAACGCTACCTCTGCAAACTCAACTTTTCATGGCTCGATTCAAAGCCTGAGGGAATCTTTCTCCAACTTGAATGAGACCACAGATCACAGAGCAGCATGGGTCTCTACTCCATTTATAAATGCAAGCTGATGTGAGGCAGTGAGGGGAGAGGAAGGAAAAGATTCATTAAATTTGGTACACAGGAAATGATGTTGCAATACCTAAGAATGTTTGCTTGCCAGTCTCTTGGTTGAAAAGTCATTCCAAGTTAAAACAAAAGACAACCTCCCCCCAACATGTAGCCATTAAAATCAGAGTTATGAGGTGGAGTTTGATTAAAGATTTTGTACTTTATCACGTCCAATAATGGAACAAGCTCTATACTATATAGAGTTGGCCTCTAAATAAATTACTTTCCCCTAGACAGTTTCTAGGCCCAAGTACCAAGTTGATTACCCAGTACTTAACATCACAAAACATTTTAAGGCACCATACAAGACAAAGCATCAAATGGATTTTTAGTATTTACTAATATAGGAAAGTATACCTGATAGTCTAAAATGCTGAATCCTAAACCATTTTTGTCCTTCTCCAGTTCAATAACCTTCACATCAGGAGACCATAATGCTAATTCCCCTTCTTCCTCCTCAGGATTAAGGTCTTCTTCAGGTTTCATCTGAAAAATAAAAGCTCTAGTTCAAACACCATTCTTTCAATTCTTAACAAACACTATTCCTTCAATATTTTGATTATTAATGGCTCACACATGCCCTAAAATATGACCTTTTATGGAATTACAACTTCACTGGATGTTATGCATCCAGTTTTCTCTGGCTTGCTGCCTTGGATACTCCCCTGAGACTAGGCTTACATGTTTGGAGCATCGGAGCCCAACCTGGCATACCAATACCCATGTATTAGTCAAATTAGTTGTTATAATATTACTAACCTGTTACATGTTGATGAACCTCAGCTGTCCCATTAGATGCATAAAGGAAAAATAAATATCTTAGCATAAAAGGCTTAACCACAAACAGGTAATAGAAAGACCAGATGATCAGGCACATCTGATACTCGTGGCATTAAATACGCAAACAAGAAAATCTTATATTGTAATTATACAAATAGCATCCAGTCTGAAAAAGCAGTTTCTTTCACAGTTTTTGTACTAAGGTATAAAAGAAAAATGTATAGTTACCCATTTTTCTTGGGTAAAGACAGCTTAATAAATACATCTTCCAAAAAGGTGTCTTTTGTTGTCTGACTTAAAATGCATGTTTTAACGTTATTACTATTTTATCAATACAATCTTTACAAAATATCAGTGTATGATGTCCCAAGAAAAACACTAACATCTTGTACCATTAACTGCATAGCAATTTAACTTTATTTCTTTTGACAAACATGCCTATTACACAGAGCACTGCCATGAGGCAAAAGGAAGGTTTTTTTCTTCCACACACTCTTAAAAAACACTCTTTCTTGATACTTGTGACAAAAGAAAGCAGAAATATTGTGAGATGGCTCTAAGGAGAAGGCAACCTTTGTTCACTCAATATCACCTTAAGGCAAAGATGTGCATCTGACAGGATGCACATGGAAAACGTTCAGTAAAATGCAACATCAAAAACCACAGTGGAACAAGTTCTACTGCAGCAGGTCCTTTTACAAAAAGGTGCAATGCTGTACACCTTATTCTTCCATGAAACATCCATATTTCTTGTTTATTTCTCCACCGTAGAGGAAATTAGATCAGAAAATATTAGAAAAGATGAGAAGTCAAGGTGTAAAAACTTTTTATAAATAGGAACAACCCTTACAAGCATTAAGCTTTAGTTTGAGACTTTAAAGCTTCTGCAATGGAATGAAACATTAAGTTTCTTTTTTTTTTTTTCCAGTTCTATAAAAACCTACTCAGAGCATGGAAGTAATCAGCTAATGGTGGCAAGGATGTGATTTAGTATAATTCAGAGCTCTCACTCACCTATTAAGTGTAAGAATGATGGATGGGATGTACATAGTCAGCATGCTAGCTCGGTGATTTACCTACCTTGTATTTACAGTACAAAGGAGTTTCTCATGACCAACCTGTATAAACTTTAGTAAAAGTACCAGTGTGGCAAACATGAACTATTTTCACTGAAATACCAGCTGACCCTTATGAATGACCCAATGTGAATGGCAAAGGCAGCTTTATATGACAATTTAATACCAAACTGCCTCACATAACTATAAACTTTAGGATATGTAATTTAAGATTGAAGAGTGGTCTGGATCAAACAGCAAAAGGAAAACAGAAACACTGTCTTAAGAAAGCTAAATCACTTTATCAGAAATATATACCGTTTTTCAAAAATTTATTGTCCTTTTTACACGACTGAATGACATAAGAAGTCTACCTTTGGTTCTGGAGGGGAAACTCCCACAGTGGGTTCATCCACAAGAGACTCACTGCCATCATCAAAAAGTCGTCGACAGCAAACCAACGTAAATGGAGGTGGCACTTCTTTTAGAAAAGTGATTGCCTCACGGCGTGATTTTCCGTATAGCTGAACTCCATTTACCTACACAGAAGGGAAAACACACATCCACACTAAGATAATTAAAAGGATATCAACCAGATTCTTTTATTAATGCTTTTTTTGTACATGTCTTTCCCCAGCTAAATGTGAAAGTCTAATTTTACCTAGGGATTCTGGCAAAGCTTGCATAGTTTTATTCACATATGCTTCTGAAGTATACATGCATTAATGTAAGACTCAAACTTCATCTGCAAGATTCTGTGACTGTGACTACTGACTGCTACATCCAGTCTCTGCTCTCTTCAGCTTCCTCTAACTTGTTTTCTGCTCACTACTTTTCCTCACCTAAATCTTTCCTAGTATTTTCCTAGTATTTAAGGGCAGTGAATGACAAAACAAGGGGAAATGGGTTTAAACTGAAAGAGGGGAGGTTTAGATGAGATATTAGGAAGAAGTTCTTCACTGTGAGGGTGGTCAGACACTGGAACAGGTTGCCCAGGGAAGCTGTGGCTGCTCCTCCCTGGAAGTGTTCAAGGCCAGGTTGGATGAGGCTTTGAGCAACCTGGTCTAGTGGAAGGTGTCCCTGCTGCTGGCAGGGGGGTTGGAACTGGATGAGCTTTAAGGTCCCTTCCAACCCAAACCATTCTATGATTCTATGATTGTTATTTCATTCTCACCTGTTTGTTGGGGATTTTTTTTTTTTTTTAGCATTAGGCTTATGTGTTTGAATTTAAAAAGATAAAAATTTTAATTTCCAAAAATATTTTGAGAAAACACAGATTGTAAACTAAAAAAACCCCTGAAGTCAGAACTAGCACAACTTCATCATTGTTTAAAAGGTAACATAATGGTTGAAAAGAAAATAGATTCTACAGAAAATATGCAGGAATGTTTATAGAGTAAAAAAGAAACCAATTACAGTAAGCAGTTAATCAGAAAACCCTGACAAGGGTTAAAGTTTACCATCTCATAAGCTTTAGATCCTGAGTGACAACATAAGACCATAAGGCCATTGTTAATGGATGTTTTAAACCACAGACTTAAAAAAAGAAAAAAAAAAAGGATAGATAGATAAATGATAATGCTGCTTTAAAATGGAATACTGCAGTTGTACTTCCTCAGGAAAATAAAAATACACTGGATTCATTGTCTTTTAGGTATTTTATAATCTGCAGTATCATGAGGGTACATCTATTTGCACCATAGTGGTATTCTTAAGTATGAGGAAAATAGAACATCAGTAGGTGTCATAGATGTGAACATCATCTACGTTGATGAGCAGCCCCAAAAGTGCAGAGGTTTAACCCGATTAGTGCTATGGACTCAATCCTGACACCTCCTGTGTTTCAGGCTACCTCAAGTCTGCTTTCATGACCATGTCCAAGGACGTTGGAGTGCAACCCCTGGTTTAGGAATCCAGTACACATCATCCAAGTCCACTCCACAACATGAACCAAAGCACAATAAGTGGGGATAATTTAAGTTTCTGTTCAGCACTTCACACCCAAACTGCAAATCAAATGTGGGTTCATCCACATTAGCACCTCGAAAATATAGCACAGAAATATATAACACACACATACACACCTCTGTACATGTGTCCTTGAGACAGACCCTCGCCATATACTTCCCAGATCTTGCTCTTTAGAGGGACTGAACCTGTGCAAGACTACACAGCAATCTCACTTCAGCCACCATTTGCTTCCTGATCACCTCTGTTTTTTCCCACTTTGTGCTTTTTACAACGTAAATATAACTTCTAGTGCTGGGAAACACAAGAGTTCCTCTCACACTATAACCCAGCCAAGGAGAAAAATTCAGAGTGGTATAACTGGCGTCCAGCATGGTAAGACGAACCGCTATGGGTTTTTCTGTAAGAATTACAGCAACTGCTGAGCTATCAGGCTAATCCATTAGTTAATTATTTAAGCAGAAGTATCTTAAGCGTAAGGATTTTTTAATGCATTGAGAGTGGCAGTGTGGTGGAAAGTTACCAGCACTTCTCAGCATACTGTGATTGATGGAGAAGAGCTACGGCGCGCTCCCGAGCAGACTTGGGGACTCCCATTTCTTCTTTTGCAGCTGCCAGAAATCAGCCTCTAAACACACAAGGTGCCCTACACCCCATTCATTCACCACACCACTCTTAGTTGTGCCATCAAGTAGGAGAGAGTGAAATTTTATAACAAAACTAGAAGGACACAAGGAAGCAATTTACTTCTAAAAAAAGAGCACAATGAAATTAGCTAAAATTAGGGGAGGAAATTAAAAAGAAAATACCGTGTTTTCTATCATCATTCAAACACGTCATTAAAAATAAGCAACATTCAGCCTCACTATATATTAAAAACAATTCCTTGCTGATCACATTTTAATCCCAACTGTATCAGGCCCAGGTAGAGCTGCTTGTTTGGGGAATGGGGCTGTCACTTTTTCCATTGCAAACCCCTACTTAAGGGGATTTATAACTTGGCTGCAAAAACATACTCTGGGCTAAACCTGGCATATACAGCTTTAGCCCCAGAGCACATTTTCATTTAGTTGGGGTTTTTTTTTTCCCCAGCTACAGAGTAGGAAAAAAATTATGCTCACCAGGTCTGAATATACCTGTGAACTTAATTGTAAGTATACAGTAATAAGCAAAACTGTTAAATATATATAATTAAAGTTTCCTAAGTTACTCTACAGCACTATGTTATTGCTTTTTGTATACCATTTTTTGTTTAGTGGACAAGGAATTTAAACACTTCCAGCATTCCATTAATCCCTTCCTTCAGGAATCAAAATTTCCTCCATTAAGCAATAACTAAAGAAAATGTTTTCGGTCTTAGTGATATCAGTATGAATTTTTGATGTTAAAGGGTGAAAAAGTAAAAGCAAGAGAGCTGTACACCTAACAAATTAATCTTTCAGAAGGTCTAATTCTGTTCTGATTTATGTCAATTAAATGTTCTTTGTGTACACTAAAAAAGGCTCAAATTCAAAATATTCCACAAAGAGCAGGTATTCAATAGGAAATTATTGCCTTTTCACTTGCAGGCTGAGATACTGATAGATACACATACATACACACACATACACAATAGGTATTATTTTAATACTATCAAATAAGTATTTTTCCTGAGCAAACAGGTTTGGTCTGATTCCAGTAACTTCAAAGCTGCCCCATACCTCTTTATACATATTTAAACAAAATGATGTACTAGCTTATACACACAAATGTCTTTCAACACTCAACAAGCAAGTTATAATGTGCAACAGGAACCACTATTCCTAAGACTGTTGTAAATTTTTTTTTTAGGAGTAACAAATATTAAGAAAGATTATCTCCCACAAAAGGTAACGCCAAATTGCTCAAAAGACTGAGCTGAAGGACTACAGATACAAATACATTTAACACAATTATTATCTCTGCCCTTATAACACTTGATACTCATGTTAAAATATTTCAGAAAGAAACTCCATGAAGTCACTAAGAGGTCACAAGAATTTGACATTTTGTCCATAAAGGAGGAATGAAACAGTGAAGAAAATGAATGAGACTTCCAAAGCTCCAACTGCTTCCACAACCAACTCTGGAATACTACTACTGCACACACAGCAGCCAAACTAGAATTTAATACAAGCATATTTAAGAAGGCTAAAGCAAACAGGAAATACATCAGTTCTCTTTTTGGGGGGGGGTTTGTTTTGGTTTTTACCTCCAGAAGTTCATCTTCCAGTTGCAGAAGACCCAGTGTTGCAGCGGGACCATCTGAAGCAATTGATGATATATAATGATGTCCATCAAATGTGTCAAGCTCAACTCCTAATCTCAAAGTGTGGATGGGCAAGAGCTGCCAAAAGAGAAGTATGGCTGAGAATGTATCTATCTTTATCTACCACACCATAAACACATTTAGGATCCAGTAGCTCAACAAATTAAACAAATTTACTCTTCATACTGACATCATCTGTGTTACAGCACAAGTGTCCATAATTTCTCTATACAAACTGTTTGCACAAGTAAACAGCCAATCAACCCTTTGGGGGAAAAGGCAATTTGAACTGCATTCTTAAATTGGTACTGGACCACTCTAGAAGATATTGGCAGAACACTGACAGCCTTTTTTTAAAAAAAAAAAAAAAAGTAAGACAGAGCCACAAAGTCACTAAATTTCTGAAACACATAAATCTGGGATTGTGACAGATCCAAGATCTCCAAGGATCACTCTGTCAACATATACCGTGAAGGAAACCATCACGTAAGTCATACCTTTGAGTACTTCTGGAGCTCCAAATCATCTGTCATGGGCATATCCACATTCACAACCTAGAAATTGTACATCATAACATTTGTCAATATCAGGATCAGAAAGACTGTACCAGAATGATGAATTCTGGCAAAAAAAAAAAAACCTGATGAGCAAAATTAACTGTACTTAAACAAAGTCACATTGATGCAAAATAATTGTAAACAAATGTTAGAAAAATCTTTCAGACACAGAACATTTACAACTAGGAATGTGGTGATTATGCACTATTAGCAGATTCCAATGTTACCCTATTCCCAAAGCCCAAGTGCCCATTTTAGTCAACTTCAGTTATCCTGCATAAGCACAAAATACCATTATGTTTGACACAAATACCCAAACTGACTTGCCAATCAGAATTTGAAAACTACAATAGCTTAAGTTATTACTTCAGGCCATAGTACAACCATCTAACATCAAGACTAAACCACCACCTCCTGCAGCATGCTTCTAACATGGCTTGAAATACATGAGTTTAATTACCAAATCTGAATGCAAAGTGTAATATTTAAAACCGTGTCAAGAAATCCCTTCAGTATATCTTAATTTTTTTAATATTAATAAAATAACTGTGTTCACCACCATTCTTTTTGGTAATGTTCTTCCTTAACATAATTTATCTGTCTTTAACCTTAGGTTATTTACTCCAATTTTAAATGTAATAAGATGACATCTGTGGTGATCTATGGCCCAGGGTTGGAGTTTGGGACACAGAAGTTGAATATGTTTGGGAAGATTGCTACAGTTGTTAGATTTGGAAAATATATAGCCCTGAAAAAAATCAGGTAACTTCAGGCTCCTTTGGAAGTTCCTAGTTTAACAAAATATCTACGAACAATACTAAGCCCAGGCTTTTTCTTTTGGCTTAATTTTAAATAGGGTTTCCAGCATCTTGTTTTCCAGTACCTACAGTATTTTTCCCAGCAGACAGAATCCATTTCATGTCCATTCAGTTGTAACTAAATGAACCTATGACTCCTCAGTCTGACAGCTCACACTTATGTACCTGACAACAAATACCACAGTCATACATCCCTGTACAGACCTCCAGAGTCTCCTTCTGTTTAACAGCTCCTTCCGCTGGTACCACAAAGGACCAGCAACAGAGAAGCCATGAGTGACACCAAACCCTGTCTTCAAGCAGCTATTTCCTCTGAAGATAAATACCTCAGAGAGAATACTCAAACCTGTAGGACCTTCAGGGTGACTTTCTGGGAGCTGAGCATAGGAGGAAGGATAGCATGAAACAGGCACTGCGCTATCACGCTGAAATCGAACTAACCGTTGTTATTGAACGCAGCCAAGCAAGACGAGAACTGGAAGAACTGAAAAATGACTTTCAAAATGGGATGCCACAACAGTTTCCTTCTATTATTTAAAAGGACCAATCGTTAACATTTTCACTCCTGACATTTTACTGGCGGCAGCTAAAGAAGAATTAGAAACAGCCAGTTTCACGAACTAAGCAGGTTTTCGTCCTCTGTGGGAAGTGTGATAGCGCTAAGGGAAGTAATATCAGACTCTTGAAATGTAAGGATGGGAATACCAAGCAACTGAAGTGGGCAGGCAAACAGATTTATTGCATCATGTACATAATCTTACACGAACTTCAGATCTTAAAGGAGTGCTAATGGAAAGAAGAGAAGCGAGTTTCTCAAGGCAATTCTTAAAGCTACTTTAAATCTTCCAGCGAGTGACTGGAACGATGGCTACTCCAAGTAGTAAAAATAAGTGTCTCTAAATCAACTGGACAAGCATTGCAAAGACAAACAGGGTATTTTCTTGGTGGTGGTGAGAATTTTTTAAGTCTTCGGAGAGAACATTGGCTGGAGTCTTTTATCTGTACTCACCGGCTAACACAGCACTGAAACGCAGCAGTGAATTACAATTTCAGTCAACTCCTCATGATGATTCATCAAAACAATCTTTTGCTTGGCAATTATTTAGTGTGAAGTGAAGAAATATCTAATAGACACTGGCACCACAAAGTTACACTACCATGAATTACTTCCTATTTTCCCAGCATATTTGAAAATCATTCTTTCATTCTTCTAATAAAATTGTAAGATTCTTCACAAAACACAGGAGCTCTATTCTGAGTCTTTTTTTTTTTCCCAGTGCACAATAAAACAAATAGATTATAAATGAAATAAAAAAATGCCACATATTTTAAGTGGCTGCTATGATGCAGATTTAAAAGAACAGCTCATTTTCTTAAATCACTATTCCTGTCTAGTATCAGCATTACAATAGTATCTATATAAACAGAATTTTAGAAACCAAACAACTCATTATAACACTCCTATATTTCAGCCTTGATGTTATGGGAAACAAAATTTGATGTTACCGATCTGTTCCAAACACTAAACTGTTCTATAAACAGCCTGTAATGCTAAGCTCACAGATCTGTAATTTAAAGAAATAACATACATGAGTGCAGTTTATTGAAAGATAACATACCATAACTTCATATTCAGGTCCCAGCAGGTTTTCCCACTTGGATTTCAGCTCATGTGCTGGAGGGAGTGGGACTCTTCCTAAATATGAAAATGAATATTAAATTTACAAGCATATTGTACATTCAGAAGTGCATTTACTTCTAAATACTTCAATAAAAATTCAGCGTAAATAAAAGATTATTTGGGAATAATCCCAGAAAGGGAAAGTGCATTAAGCTAAGTCTATCAAACAGTGCAAATCAAAAATGTCTTTCTTAGGAAAACAATGCAAAATGTCAGCTACTGCTAACGTGTGATTTATTCCACTGAGAAGCAGAAGAGGTGATGCTTGCATTGATGAGATGCGAGTTCTGTACCATGTAGTACTGTAAATAAATCATTCTTTCAGGCTGCAAAACAAATTTCACATGACTTCATAATTTGTTGCTATAAAAACCCTTGCCACTCCAGGGAAGCATTATCTCCCACCAAAATGAACCCCCTTAAGAAGTAAAACACCTGACAAGACATTGCTGTTATCAAGGGGCAGTGTCAGCACAAGGCAGTCACAGAACTTTATTTATACATCTGGCAGGTATAAAGGCTTGTCTAGTTTAATTAGGCCAGTAAGTAACATGAGCTTTAATACAAGCTCCAGTTCTAAACCAGTCTTCCGTGGGAACTTGGCTATCTTGACATTTATATCTTTTCAGCTTTCTTACTTATGCAACCAAGGCAGTATTACATTCATGTAAGACAATTTGACAGAACTAGACAGCATAAAATGACTGGCTGCCCTGCATTTGACCTCATCCAGAAGCTCAGCGCACATATAAAGTTCCAAGCCGAAGCAATGTTTAACTGGTAAGAATCAAGCTCTAAAGCAAATTCCATCTAGCAGCTACAGCAGCAGCAACTGGGGGCTGAATGACCAAAAACTATGTTTCCCCCCCCCAAATGACTGTAATAGTTTGTCAGATGTCTAGACAAGGCACAGACCACTTTGTGTCATAGCTGATGTGTCATACTGAAATTTAGCATGTAAATCACAACCTCACATTTTGCACACCAACTAGCAAGTAAAACACCTCAAGGGGGGAATTTTGAAGAGACCAAGAGAAGCTCAGAGCCTACCTACTAGCAAAAGCCAACACAAATGGAATGTCAAGCTGCCTCTGCTTTCAACACCTTTGTAGACTGCAAAGATAAAACATGAGCTTTGCAATACAATCCTCATTGCGTCATTTTGTAACTTTGAAGTTTTCCACTCATTAAAAACCAAGATTTAAGTGAACTTATACAACAACATAAGCCATCACTCTATTTCTTCCACTCACTCTCTGTCATGCCAGATAGGCAAATTCTGTCTGATCTGCACTGAGAAACCACACTCCTCAGACCGTAACAACTCAGATTTCACTTGCTTCCAGAGCATCTTTAACCTACAGGTTCAACAAGATAAAGGTATTCAAGGATTCCAGCAATTCAGATCACTATTTTCTGTCATCAAAAAGAAATCCCACAAAGAATAAAAACTTGGCTTTGTAAATACAGCCCACAATTCCCTCTGAAATAAATTATCTCCTTAAAGAAAAAAAAGAGAGAGAGAAGACAAATTATCCCAAAATTCTCAGCTGTGAGCTTCGAGTTTTTTCCTTCACTGAAATTTAATTGAAGTTTCTAAGAAGTTGTCTTTGTGAGCCTTGTTATCAAGCACAGGCTGATCACTATCTTTACTTCTCAGCTGTAGCAAAAACAGAACACCAGCGCATTTTTCTGCTCTACATAGGGACAGAAACTCTTCAGTCTCTTTTTCTGCTATTACAAAGTTATAGTGTGAACACACAGGACCTAAGCACCTGCGATCCCCTGGGCAGCCAAATATAGATTTTAAGGTTCACCAGGAGTAATGAATCTTAGGGTTAAGCTCAAAGTTCAGTTCAGTAACTGTAAGCTGTGTTCAGCTGGCTGAACACAGATTTTTTTTGTCACTTCCAAAACACATTACCAAAATCTATGAGTTGTTCAGAGCAGGTGCTGATGCAGGTCTCCATTTGAAGTTTCCCCCTTTCTTTCTTTCAAATACACTTTTAAGTCTTTGCTTGTAACTTCCTCAGAACTGTAGAAATGTTGGCTGGAAGGATTTGGATTAAATGTATTTAATTCCAATGGTATCACCCAATTCACTTAAAATGCTCCTTTTTTCCCCAAACAGCTTTTTCCACATGGCAGCTAATAGGAAGTTTCTTTCTAGTCTCTCATCCAGCTGGATTTCTCATGGCCACAGACACATACCACATCCTCTATAATACACGAGGCCTCAGAAATGAAGTAACTTCCCAGGGACAGCTTTCATCTGTTACTATTATTATTATATATTAATATATATAACAACTTTCAATATATTTAAGTCTGTCCTTCTGCCTGCACTTCCATACGTGTTTTCTCATTTCTAATTAAGCATCAAGAACAAATATCAAGTGTACTGTAAAAATCAACTTTCCTGGTCAAAACTGCCAGCATCTTCAAAATTAGGATCTTTTCTTCTCACAATTTCCTCCTGGTTTCACAAAGTTACTACACAAGGATGTGTACGGTGCTCTAGTGCAGTTCATTAATGTCCTACCTTTATCTGCTGTACTGTTGGATATTCTTCCCCAGCTGTCTTTAAGTGCCTGACTAGCATCATCATATCTTTGGGTTTTGAGTAGTGCTGCAAGGCAAAAAAAAGCAGTTCTGCCCAGTCTGCAGTCTTGCAGATGCAGCTGTTAAGTTAATTGCCTCTAGTCTGCTAGCAGAATGTTTCAGGCCTTGTTCACATTGCATCCTAAACCATGTTGCCTTTGTAACAGAACTGCTTAAGCACGGTTTTCCATGGCCAGAATTACTATTTAATATCTCTCCAGGAAACACAATTTAATAAGAATTTCACACAAATGGGCTTAAAGGGAAGTAATACATATTTTATAAAACATACCTTTTACACTGAACTTCTAAAAGCATTTCCAGAGTTTAGTCAGAGCCTTAAATTAGCAGTACTTATTTTAGCACCATTATAATGAAGTGCCCTTCACCATGTCCAAAATAAGCACCTATCTCTGGAATTTAAACTTACCCATTAAATTCTATTGCAAGGTGAACTCTTATACTTCGTATTTCAGTATGAGTAAAATTTGCAGCTAAGTATTTCAACTTTTTAACAGAGATACACACACACACATTTTACAGCTGCATAAAGCTTTTGCAGAACCTTGTCCCTTGAAGGGGTTTTTCACTATGAAAAACCCCGGTTTAATCAAGCAATGATACTTGCTTACCATTGCATTAAGTGCTCCCATGACTCAGTTTCAAAGCCATGCCCATTGCATTATCCTGCTGGCTCAAGGAGAACCAGCACTGCTAGATGGTATCAAGGACAGTATCCAACTGCAAACAAACAGTATCTTCAGGATTTAAATTGTGGTATCCAAAGACAAACTGTACATACAAACACTTAGCCTGTATTCTCCACGGTAATGGAAGCTTGGAACACGTAGGAGAATAGAAAAACCTCATAGTACACTTGCTCCATGATGCACCAGGGAATGCAGTGCAGATACACCACACTGCACCTGTGAGGAATCAGCTGGTCCAACCAGCAGCTACAGATTCCAGGCAAGCAAACCCCTGTCAGATCCAGATGCATCTGAAGCTCCAAGGAAGGGGATTACAAGATTTGCCCAATGCTAGAATTGAAGGGGAGCCACTCATATACATACAACTTGGTTACAAACTCCTTTTGAAACTAAGGGCTTTGGAATATTTATGGAAATGCAGTGGATCCACATCAAAGCAGTTTGGGTCCGCGATGAAAATGGCTCAAAAGTACAGTTTGATCCAAGCTGATTATCAGCAGCACAGGGATCTCTAAGGCATATCTAGATAACACACCTTGAGACTGACAGTTTGTTAACTTCAAGCCAGGTAAAAGCAATGTTAGTTCCCAGCATAAACTGATCCTGGCATTAATACACCATATTTGCAGAGCACTAGGTATTAGGTAACAAATTCCTCAGAAAGTTGTCTTTGCATCAGGGCAGACACCTGCAGCCTGGGACACAAGATAATCCAATCACAAGCAGACAGGAACTGACTACAGAGATATTGTTTGCTTCAGTAGAAAATAATCCCCAACTTTATGTACAGAAAGCTCCTCAGTAAAAAGGGACTGGGTAAGTGACAGAGGACAGCGTGTGTCATTCTTTTCTAGCCTTTGTCATAGTGAGTAAGTCCTCCTGGTTCTTCTGCCCCTAAAAACATTCTACTGCTAAGTCCTTAAGTTATTTGTCCATTGTAACTCCAAATCAACATATGCTTTTCCATTCATACAGCTAAAACAAGGCTTTGATAACCTCGTGTCTCAGCTACTCAACCACCTCTGTTTTGGCTCCCTATTTCTGGGAATATGCAAAAGTCACAACAAAGGATGTCTGGTTACAAGGCTTGGACAGAAAAGTACAACAGAATGGAACATAGGAACTGATACATTTCTCTCGTTTCCAGGTTGTCTTTAATACTGACAGATCTTCCACAATCGTAGCAAAATTGTTCTTCTTTGACAGCCATAATTTAGAATCCTCTATTACATCTACATATCTTAAAAACTACAAGGCATAAGGATAATTTATGCTGATTTTAACACAAGCTGTAAAAATTCACCCAGAAGCTCCTGTAGAAGAGCCCAGAAATCTGCAGGGGAATGGAAGCATGCCTTCTGGAGAGACCTCCAACCTTGATTCAGAAGTCAGTTAAAAGCTAAAGCAATCCATGTCTTTGTGATCTGCCCCATGCCCAATTGCCTTTGCTCTAAAAGCACACGCCTAATTTGAACTCTTGTCCCGCTTCCGATTCCAGCTGCCAAGTCTTTACATCTATTACACCTTTGCCAGACCAGAGGTTCTCATCTGCCTGCATAGGTGTGCAGTCAACCATTTCCAGTTCAGCTAGCAAGCTCAGGACCAACAAACCAGAATTTGCACATCTAGAGACTGAGCTCTAGTTTCCAACAGTAGTGTGGGAGGAAGCAGTATGCAACAGTATTGGTACCACAAGGCAAATGAGTTGGGTCTGAGAACCAGCAGGCAGGAAGGAGAGTTGTTATATGGCAGGTGGCACACAGGTGAGACAGAGGTTCACAGAAACAGCATCTGTCTCATTTGTGTAGAAAATGATCTACAAATAGAGACAGGTCACAAGAAATGATCCCCTGTCCCTGCTGCCTGCAGCCACCTCTGGTCCTTCAGCAAGCCCTACTCAGTTAAAACTCCCAAGAGTTCCATCTCCTGATGCTGTTCACCTAGCAATCTGGTTCAGGGCCCTGGCAGCAAAAGAGGATGAACAAATCTCTGTCAGAAGAAGATTGCAGGCAGGACACCTCAGGTCATCAGTACAGGACCAGATCTAGAAAGAGGAATTGGTGAGCTGGAAGCACTCAGCTCTATAGAGCTGCTGAGATTCATTCCAGAGTACTGAAAAGGCTGCACCTCTGCTGTCTATAATCTACAAAAAAGCCCCAAACCAAAACACAGGAATAGAAGGGTGATCACTAATGAGTGGAAAAGGGCAAACTTTATGTAAGGGAGAAACATCCAGAGAATTATAGGCCAGTCAGTCTCACCTTTGACCCTGGAGAGATCATAAGATACTTCCTCTTGGAATCCATTTCCAAAGACAAAAGTGATAAGGTGGCAAATCAGGAAGAGTTAACATAGATTTGCCAGGTAACTGACCAACCTGACTGCCAAGATAGCCGTGTGGATGAAGGCTGTAAGACACCTCAACTTCACCAAAGCTTCTGACACCATTTACATCAGCATTCTCATTTGGAAACTGAGGAAGCATGGGCTTGATGACTGCTAAATAGGCTGAAAACCAGATGGACCACTGGGATCAAAGACAGCATTAACCAATGGCTTGAGAGCCAGTTATGAAAGAAGGTCAACAGCTACAGGGGCTAATATTATCCAGTATCTTCATCAGTGACCTCCATGATGACACAGAATGCACTTTTGGCAAACCTGTGGAGTGTACTATATTTTGGGGACAGGGCAGGGTGGAACTGTTGATAGATTCAACAGGGAGAGCTTTACTTCAGAGAGACCTGAATAAAAAGCATTACACAGCAAAAGCTAAAGATGGAGTAAGCCACAACAGCCCATCAGTATTGAAAATTGGTTAAAGACAATTCCAAAGACTCAGGAAGAGACACTGTAAGATATCCTAGCCACCTGTTTTATGTAGACTCTGCTTCTTTTCATTTTGAAGATTATCCTTCTGTTCTTGATTTTCCTTATTCTTAGTGTCTACACTAGCTTCAGTCCCTACAGCTCCAGGAGACACAAAGGTTGGAACAGTTGGCTGCACTGTGAAAACAGATGGGGGGGGGGGGGAAAAT